TCTGGATGATGCCACAAAATGAGCCTCCTCCAAGATCATGGAAGCCTCCAAGAGAACAATGAGCGGACCCCCCAGGGATACGCAAAGTCCCTGACACTAAACCAACTTCTGTCTTGAGGAGCAGGAGTCGCCATATCTGTTGGGGATTAAAGTCTCACTGGCCCCTCTTGGTTGGATCTTCGCACAGTAGCCTTTTCCTCACACTGATTTTGTTTTTGGAAGGAAATCCAGCTAAACCCATGAGATAAGTTCAGGTAAGGTGTTGCAGGGAATCTGACGGCTTTGTGCGCCAAAGCCATTTTTCATAGGGCTGTCAGCAAGTTCAGGGTTTCACCTGTGGGTCTGGGCAGAACTTACAGGAGCACCCTCCAGGTACAATAAAGGCTGTGTAACATTTGGCCCCGAGTTACGGCACTCTATCACACATTGAATGCTGGGGGGGTGGGAAGTATCTGGGATAAACTAGACTCTTTCCACAGCGCATGGGGGTTCTGGAGAACCAGGGATCTCCAGGGGATGGCTCACAGTCTCTCAGGGCCTTTTAGGGTAGGAGGACTCATCATCTGAAACTCCCTCCATCATGTCAGACAGCAGGCACCGCTACTTTTCTGAATGAGGCAGATGTGTCCTTTCTTTTGTGGGCAGAGCAAAACACCTGGGGAGAAATGGGGAAAAAAGAAATGTCAGCTGCTGGTGGTGATTTGTGTCAGGAGCAGCAGGCCAGAAAAGATCCCTTCCCTTACCCTGCATGAGACATTTCCTGCAACGCTTGAGTTTCTTCTCACTGACTCTCGTTAGCAACTGCTTTTTGAATTTTTACTGGCATCAGTATGAGCCCACCCTTGGTGCCACATACACTCCTGATGGTCACAAGGTTGAGCACTGCTCCATGAGTGACAGTGCAGTCCAGGGATGGCAAGACTGGGCTGCTTCATGGGGCAGGCAAGCTGCGAGCCAAACAAGGTGATCAGGGCAGGTCTAGTGGCCATAACCAAGATCGGCCACAGCCCAGTGATGTCCAGGCAAGGCCAAGCTGGGAACTTGAGCCACTAGCGGTCCAGGGCTAGACACAACACACACTTGGCACAGCTTAGGCGAGAGCTTACGCCAAGGGACTGAGCTTCAATGCTGCTCCTGGGCCAGCAGGTGGTGGAGGGTCCAGAGGAGGCTGGTCGGGGCAATGACAGCTTGCTGGTGTACTCTGGTTCCTGACAGCCATCATGAAGGGATGCCTAGGAACAGCATCACCCCTTGGCTAGTTAAGCACTTCTAACACTTAGCCAATAACACGACTTCAGGCATTCAGCTTTCTAATTGCCACCATACTTTATTCTAAGACCTCTTCCTCTCCCACTCTTCAACATTACATGACCATTAATTCCCTCTCCTGCGAGGAGCTGGAAGCAGAAAGGGAGCTAAGAAAATTGTATTATGAAATGCTACAATCAATGACCTGCAAAGGAGCGGAGAAGAGAAGTTTACTGCCAGCCTCTCCTTCTCCCACAAGAGCCTTCCGGGTGGCACCAGCTCCCTGGCTCAGGCAGCTCAACTGCAGCTATAATTCAGTGTAAGTCAAAAATTTTATTTCGGCAGGAAAAGCTGAAACAGCAGAGGGCTTCTTGTCACTGTCTCTGGACAAGCCCAGGAGAGGCAGAAATGGTTTGTTTAATGCTGTCTCTCATTATTCCTGGCACTTTATGACTCATTAAGTGTCCTAGTTTTGTAACTAACTCCTGCTGAGCTCAACATTTGATACACATTTATGGGTGGCCTGTTGGCTGTAATAACGATTGAACTATTCATAATTCCTGTAACCATGTTAACTCCTTCCTTTTTGTGCCAGGCTTCCTTTAAACAGCTGTGAGATAAAGATACTGGGGACTTCAGTTCTTAAGGCAGAATGAATTACATTTATCTGGACAACTTATTAACATGGCTATATTTCAATTTGACACACTTGTTCTGAGCCCAGATAAACCATGCTGTGTCCTAATACCTTTTATGCTGCTCCCATTCCACACCCACTAGGCTTTTTACCATGGCCGTATCCATGCAGATGGATGTCTGATACCAGTTCCCCTCAGAAGGCGGCCAACAGCACACACATCAGTGTTCATTCACTTGTATGCAACAGGAACAGGAGCCAAATGACCCTTCTTTCTTGCCCATTACAGGTGGGAATTAGAAGTAAGGCACCTCTGTTCAGGAACCTTCTTGTGATATGAGTGATCTTGTCAGCTTCTCCCCTGTTTTCCAGCTTGCTTTCTTTGCAAAAGGTCAGTGAGAATTCAAAACAGAGCCCAGCAACATGCTGACCCAGCCTGACAACTGATGCAAACGGGGCAACCGCAAGCGCTCACCACAAGTTTGACAGACACAAGTATTTCTCGAGATGACATCACATTTAATCTCTCTCTTCTGAAAGTGTCATGCACTAACACCTCAGAGATAGGTAGACAGGTCTGCGTTTTAGGTTAATTTTTCTTTCATTCATTCGAAGCACAGAGTCACTTAGCCTGGCCACTCTGAAAAGATGTGACTTTGTGTATAGTCAAACAAATCCAGTCTGTGTATATTTTGGAGCATGATGGAAAAGTCACCATCAAAACCACACAGGTCTAAACTAAAGGTCAGTATCTTTAAACTGGAGTTGGAAGTTATCTGCAGCTTCAGCTAAAGAGTCTGTCATAGAAGTGTGCCTGATTTCAGACTAATTGGGATGAGAACGCTCTCAGAAATTCAGTGGTGTGTAGGACAGTATTCAAGATGGCCTTGTAACTGTGTCCAGCTGGGACGGAATTAACCATTAACCTTCTTCACAGCAGCCCATCTGTTGCCATGCCTTGCATCTGTGCCTAAAACAGCACTGATAACACACCAGTGTTTTGGCTATTGCTGAGCAGCGCTTGCACAGCATCAAGGCTTTCTCTCCAACTCCCCATCACTGACTTCAAAGGTCTGTAGGCAGGAAATGGGCAAGAAGTTGGGAGAGGAAATAACTGGGACAGCTGACCCAAACAACCAAAGGGATATCCCATACCATATGACATCATGCTCAGAAATAAAAAGCTGAGGGAAATAAAAAGATGGGGAGACATTTGTGGTGATGTTGTTTGTCTTCCCAAGAAACTGCTATGCATACTGAGGCCCTGCTTCCCACAAAGTAGCTGGACATCTGCCTGCTGATGGGACATAGTGAATTAATTCCTCTTTTTGTTTTGCTTCTGTATGCAGCTTTTGCATTTCTTAATAATTATTTATCTCAACCCATGAGCTTTTCAATGTCATTTTCTCCCCCTTGTCTTTTGAGGAATAGGAGTGAGAGAGCAGTTGGATGGGCATCTGGCAGCCAGTCGAGGTCAACTCTCCACAGGGTTCTGGACAAAGATTGATTTTCTTGACTGTTTTTTCCATTTTAGTTACTGCTGACCACAAAGAAAACAGATGATGTAAACTTCAAAGGCATTTTCATATGAGAACTGTCAATTTGATTCAATACTGCCAACCTCAAACATTCAATAATAATCAGTCCTGATTAAAAAGAAGAAAAAACACTTGGGGCCTTATCTTTCAAGTCTTGGTGTTTGAGCCCACAAGGACGTGATTTTATGACCAGCATATTCTAGTTCAAGCCTGTGTTGCTCTAGTGAGAGTGGAGCCACTCTCACTAGTGCCTGTTTTATATTCCTGCTGCTTATCTTAGGTCAACACTAGCAGTCAGGAGAGTGAAACAAGATTCATGATCTGGCTGGCAAAAACAGGGACAAGAAGGGTCTCATTCATTCTCTCAATATCTTTTGTTTCAAAGGTGGTTTGCAGTAGCAGCAGTTCAGTCTGCCATAGTGTGGCCCAGGAGCAGATGACGCAGGAAGTCTGCACAGGAGTCCAGTTTGTCACCGCAGCATTTCTCACTGTGTGCAGCAGTTCCTGTCAGCAGGAAAAAAAAACAATCGCTGATTTCAGTCCAGTGCTTTGACTGCAGTATTTCTGTCTTCGTCCTGCATTGCTTTATGCTAGGTTTAGACACTTACTATCAGAATCTCAGGCTTTTGCTGAAGGACAGCGTTTTAAAGTTAAGAGACATGGCTGTTATGAAGTGAAGAAAATGCACAAAATCACCTCTGGAGGAGTAAAACCAACAAATTGCAATGCACAGGCTTGAATGTCAGAGAATACACTTCTCTGGAAGGGATTTAGTTATTTTCTTACTCCATAAAACAAGTGACATCTCTCAGAAAAGAGTCCCTGTGGGGAACTTAATCCTTTGGGAGAGAGGATAAGTTAGTGATTAGAGATGAAATGCAAAGGTGTTTTCAGCATAGTGGCTGGCTGCACAATTTTCTAATACAGTACATTATGCTGTTAATGGAAATGTAGCTTTGTACCTTATGTTTTTCTCCCAGTAGAATTAAATTCAGCACTGTTTGCATGCAAAGCATGCACACTCACAGCTGTGAGCTCTGGGGTGAGGGAGAAGGCACAACTTGGACCTACACAGATAAGATCACAGAGTCTGCAACTGGGCTGGGAGCTAAACCCACTGCCTTTGCCAAGTGACTTCACCACAAGACCATCTTTGCTCCTGCCCACAGGAACTGTCTCACACCATAACAGACAGACCCCAGGATCCAACAGATTGGGGGAAAAGCACCTGGCAGTTTTGGAGTCCTTTGGGATCTGCAGGGACAAGAGCTTTCTGTTCCACTCTGTGACGCAGCAAAGGGAAAACCACCCGCCATTTCCCCCAGAGTCCCTTCCCAGTATGCTAATCCAACCTGCACACCCCTGTTCCTGCCAGGAATCTCTCTGTTTCAAGGCCACATGTGTCATTTATTAAGAAATAAGAGAGAGCAGGGAGGAACAGCTTTTAAAGAAGTAGGCCATGCATGGGCTGTCAAGCCTCTGGGAACCCTCAGAGATGAAAGTACCACAGGAGTGCCACACGGCAGTGCTGCTGGCATATGTAACAGTGCTGCTAAAGTGGCTCTCCACATGCCGGTATGGAGATAGGTAATCATGGCACTGGAATCATGGAGCTCACTAAATCTTATGGTCACAAAGAGGGAAGGTAAAGGGAGTAAATTGTTTGGTGCAACAGAAGCCACTGTCCCAAGCTGAAAGCCCTGGGAAACAAAGCAGCAGGGCATGTTAAGTACCTCCTTGGGAGCTGACTGCAAATGAAGCAGCTTGGTTTTCACTTGGATTTGCAGCTTTGTGTTCATGAAGAAAATGTGAGTGGAAAAGCTGAAGAAACACTGGGAGAGAGTTTCTGAGTGGACTGCAGACTTGTACTAGAGAGAGGAAAGAGTACCTGCTGCTGGGGGGCTGTGCTCAAGGTACACAAACTGCAGGAATATCCAACTTGTATTTCATCCTGCTGGAAGCAAGCTGCAAAGCCCCAGCTCCTCATTAGCTGCTCAGACCAAGAGGAGATCATCTGTTTTCCAAGTGCTTAGATAAAAGAAGGGTGAAATCATAAGATGCGAGGCAGAGCTTCTGCTCTATTACTGCGGTGCCAAAGCACAACATCTTAAATAAAGTCAGCAATATTATTTTGTGTGTGCTTAGGACCAAACTGTAATCTCTCATTCAACATTACCTGAGTCTGTAGAGTTACCCCAGTGTAAATGAGGCCATAACTATATATACACAGCATTAACTTGCTTGGTTCCAATCAGCATAACTGCTATCATTGCTTTGTATACCAAAAGAAGAAAAAACAGCAGAAAACTTGTTTACTGGCAACTTTTTTCCAGAAAGAAAACTTGCTATTTTTCACATCTCTGGAGAACAAAGCTCTTAATACCAACAAGACAGAACCTTCCTAAAGAACTTGCTTTCTTCGCCTTGTATTCATCAGCAGAGGGTGATTTGTAAAGCTGTCAGTTAAAGTTCATCAGGATGGTGAGCTGCCACAGGATAATCCTAAAGGTTATTTGGCAGCATATCCAACCAGCCTGGCCATGGTTGAAGAATCAGAGATGATTTGAAGCTGTAAGTCAATAAACAGCAGGATTTTGCAACTGCCAGCCCACCTGTGACACACCACTTATGTAATACTCAATATTTCATTGAAATCACAGAATCATCAGGTTGGAAAAGCCCTTGAAGCTCCTCCAGCCCAAAATGAACCTCACCCTGACCGTTCCCAACTCCACCAGATCCCTCAGCGCTGGGTCAACCCGACTCTTCAACCCCTCCAGGGATGGGGACTCCCCCCCTGCCCTGGGCAGCCCATTCCAACGCCCAACAACCCCTTCTGCAAAGAAATATTTCCTAAGAGCCAGTCTGACCCTGCCCTGGCACAGCTTGAGGCCATTCCCTCTTGTCCTGGCGCTTGTTCCTTGGTTCAAGAGACTCATCCCCCGTCTCTGCACCCTCCTTTCAGGGAGCTGTAGAGGGCCATGAGGTCTCCCCTCAGCCTCCTCTTCTCCAGACTAAACCCCCCCAGTTCCCTCAGCCGCTCCCCATCAGACCTGTGCTCCAGACCCTGCACCAGCTCCGTTGCCCTTCACTGGACACGCTTGAGTCACTCCATGTCCTGTTTGCAGTGAGGCAAACATGCACGGTCTAGGACCGCGAAAGGGAGCCCAGCGATGGCCGCCCCGTTACCCCCGGCACACACCGCAAACTCAGCAGCACAACACCCCTCACAGCTCAGCTCTGCCCGGGAGGCCCTTTTCTTTCCAGGGGGAAGGGGACAGGCCACTGAACCTGCCGGGAGCGTTGTCACCAGGGACGCACCCTCCCCTGAGGTGACGACCCCTCAGCGCAGCGCCAGACGCGGTCGCTCCCCGCTCCCCGCTCCCCGCTCCCCGC